AGATGTGAATTTATGTTTACAGCCTGGTACTTTTCTCCCCAAAGTTCAATGTAACAAACCCTTCAGCTTTAGTTGGAACAGACTACAGGACATGCTATTTAAAAATCAAGGTCACTGTTATTTGTTGCATTTCCAAATTGTAAACATGCTTTTATGGCTTTATTTGGAGTAATGACCTCTGAATGTCTATATTCACATTCACAGCATGTCATTTGTCTTTTGGACAGAGTTATCACTTTCATGGATATCATCATCATTGGATATCTTTGCTGTTTACATTGATGTTATAATTGGTTAAACAAAGACAGTGCTCCTTCAATCATCTAGAAATTGAACCCTCAATGCAGGCATCCCCAAAGTCGGTGCACTGTCCTGCAGGTTTTAGAGGATTCCCTGCTTTAGCACAGCTGATTATGATGATTGCAGTAAAGCAAAAGCCTGTTAAACAGCTTTCAATTAAAATGAGCTGCGCTGGAGCAGGGAAACCTCTGAAAACCTGCGGGACAGCTGGCCTTAACGACCAACTTTGGGGATTTCGTCCTAAGAGAAACTGAACGTATGGAGGTCCACAATGCTGCTGATTACTTTAAGAATTTCTTTGTTTTAATATATAACACAATATAATTTATTTGAGTTCCAACTTAAAAATACATGAACAGACTGGCTCTAAGTTAAATTAAATGTTAAACGTTCCAATTTAACCTGTTAGAAACCATGAGATCCTCCTTCCAAATGTTTGTTAACTGTTAAATATGAAAGATCTCTTTGTCATTGCTTTGCATGAGCAATACCTGTTTATTTCTCTATTAACTACAAATCACTTTATTATATCACAGCAACTGACAGCAGTGTTTCAAAGCTCTTCACAAAAAAGACAATCCAGGTAATATACTAGATACTCCATTCTATTCAGTAAGATGAATTTCTTACCCAATCCTAGTTATAAAATAATGGACTTTAATTTGATAAGTTCATAGAGCAGACACATCAAGAACATTTAATCACTTCTCCATAACAAATAAATGTGACCGAAAACTGAAGGGATAATGGCAACAATAGATTTCACTACTTTGTATTTTGTTAAAGATCTTATGTGTTAATTTTCTGAAATTGAAGTGATTTTATTGGTTTTAGTTTACTAACAAGCTTAAAAGTACAATTTTGTTTCTTTTTCAGTTAATATTATTAATCGTCATTTTGAAGGTTATTTCAAATTCAATGAAACCCAGGGATCCCTCCACCCAAAACACCCTAAAATTAATTCCAGGGAATGATAGGGCAATTAATTTTGGTTTTGCCCATTGGATCCAATCTAACGAGATATGATAAAGCCCCTGTCACACCTTGACGATTTAGCCAGCGTATGCCTGACGTACAAAAACTCTGGCATACGTTGGATAAGTTATGGGTATGTTTTGTATAAGTAATGAACATGCTGAAGTAGCAGAAGCACGCTGGAACACTTTGACATACATCAAGTACATCGTGATGTACTTTCCGTATGTCGACGAGGATGGAACTCAAGGAGATAGAAGCACACATACAAGAAGAACACAAAAGCACTGATCCAAACATATATACATGCTGTCTAGGGAAGAGGATGAGTTCTGAGAAAGTTTTCCTGCCATAAGGGGTGAAAAAGAGCACATAGGTAGTAACAGTAAAAGCTGGGACCCATAGTTATGCCTGTGAGAGAGACAGGATTAGGCCCTAAAAATTAAGAAGAAATATAAAAAGCTGTCCCGATGTCCTCCAGTAGCCTAAGCCTATAGCAGCATAACTATAGAGATAGTTCAGGATAACCTGAGTCACTATATAACTATATGCTTCCAAAAAGCAGAGTTTTAAGCCTAAAACGTACTAACAAAAGGCAGACCTTTTAATCAACTGCTAAAACAACAGATTTCACAAACTTCTCATTTGCTGATTATTGGATATTCCTTCCTAGATTTTATCACAATAATGAAATGTTTTGTAATTACCATTTAGGTACCATGAAAACACCTAGAGTGAGCTTCATGTTTGTGCAGTGTTTAGTTAAATGGATAATAACAGTTGATCTGAGGTTATTTTATGTAATTTTAAATCCATTTTAGTGGTTATACTTTTTTCCAATAGGTATTTAAATATTTTTCATCAAAGAGGTTGAATCTGTTTTTACATGACTGTTAATTACTTAGCTTTGTTGATGCATTTTAAGTGTTTTTTTCAGATTACCTTGAGAAGATTGTGAGTGTAATGACATTGCACACAGAAAACCGAATGGGTTGGGTGTAATGACAGATATTGCGCAATGTGTCATCATAAGGCACTAATATAGAATGCTTTAGTTTGAAAATAAATCTCAGCATGTCACTCGATCAAAAGAAAGCAGTCAGAATACATAATCCATGTGCACACCCTGTGTGGGTGTGGAACGACCTTTGTGGGAGCGAATAAATCTAACATAGAGCACAATGAAGGTTATTGTGTAAGGGGTTTAACACTTTTTAAGAAATACTGAGCAAAGTTGAAAACTAAAGCCTGCAGAAACATAAAGACATGACTTAGGACTAAATGTCGATGGATACTTACTGCGGATTAACAGGCGGTCGAGGCCAGATTAGCTCAGTTTACTATTTATAAACAAAGCACTTTGGCTGTTTAAATGTAAACAGGGAAATTATATGTGGATTCTCTTATTTATTTACCACACCAATATTTTCAGACGCCTTTTGTTTGTAGGGTTCTGTTTTATATTCTTTTGTTGAGGATCCAGTTGCACAGGTAAGGCCTGCGGTGCACAGTGAGAGCGGATTTTAATGTCAATGCAGGATGCCAACAAAAACAGGACGGTAAAAACGAGGTATCTGACACTGACCGAGAAAAACAAGAACTGTTTATACATGGCAGCAGGATCGATGAAAAGCAGGAAGCTGAGACAGAGGGAAGGTACTGAAGGATCTGGGAACTGCAGCCTCTGTAATTCATCCTTAAGGCTGAGTGCTCATGCATAAAAAGCTAATTGAACCACTTGAACATTTTTACATTCAACATTCAGTTTAATTCAAAACGTCAGGTGAGCAAAATTCAATTCTCATCAACTTATTTACAATCATTTTAAACAAGTGCTGCAAGCTGTTAAAAATTCAAATATTTAGGTAGAGTTACATAAAAATTAGGTATTTGAAAGAGATAGAGTTGTGCAGATCAGCGTAACCTGATTGGCTGAATCTTTGACAATATTTGTTGGACAA